GCGGGGCCTAGCGGGGCCGCTCCGGCGGGGCCCGGCTCCGGCAGCCGCCCGCTGCCACACGCCGCCTCCCCCGCCGCCATTTCCCGCCCGCTGGAAGCCACGGCGGCGAAATGGTGCCCTGAAAGGCGACCGGCAACTCACCCCCCCGCCCATCCCGGTACCCGGGGCCATGGCACTGGGAAACCCCTTTCCATCCCGGGGCTATTGGACCGGCAACCCCTCCCCGCCTCCATCCCGGTACCGGAGGGCCGGCAACCTCCCCTCCATCTCGGGGCCAAAGGACCGGCAACCCCCCCTCTATCCCGGTACCTGGGGGCCAGAAGACCGCCAAACCCCCCTCCATCCCGGTATCCGGGGCCAGGGGACCAGCAAACCGCCCTCATCCCGGTACGCAGGGCTGGGGGACCGGCAAACCCTCCTCTCCATCCCGGAGCCAGGGGACAGGCAAACACCCCTCCATCCCGGGGCTATGGGACCGGCAAATCCTCCTCCATCCCAGTACCAGAGGACCGGCAACCCCCCCTCCATCCCAGTATCCAGGGCCAAGAGACCATCAAACCCCAATCCATCCCGGTACCCGGGGCTAAAGAAGCAGCAAACCCCCCCCTCCATCCCAGTATCTGGTGCCAGGGGACTGGCAAAACCCCCTCCATCCTTGGTACCCAGGGCCAGGGGAGCAGCAAATCCCTCTACATTCCAGGACTTGGGGTTGGGGGACTGGCAAACCCCCCTCTATGCCAGTACCCAGGACATGGGACTACCAAGCCCCTCTCTATCCCGGTACCCCGGGGGCAGAGGACTACCAAATGCCCCTCCACCCCGGTACCCGGTACCTGGTACCAGCAAGCCCCCCTCAGATCCCCGTCCCCAGGATTCCTGCAGAAGGGAGGCCAAGCCAGGCTGTCCTTTGTGTGAGGTGAAAACGGCCACTTCCAGCCCCATCGGGTCAATATGTCCCTCACCCAGCACACCCGCTGGCAGCTTCAGCCATAATTCCCCCCCAAAAAATCCAAAGTAGGAGCCCTGTCCCCCTCGACAGCAACCCAGCACTTGGTAAGCGGGCACCCACAGTTCCAAACGGCCTGTGAATGGGGCAAACATAACCAGACACACCAAATTCTCACTAATTATCACAAAGGAGAGTCCACAACACAGGACAATTGCATAGATCTCACCTCCTGCCCTTTCTCTCCCCTGTTGCTCTCTGCCAAGGCCGTCACCTTCGTCACAGACATCAACCCAGACCAATTAACCTGGGAAAAATATTTTATACCCACACAGGAGGTAGAAGCCGCTTTTCCATCTGCTTATTGTTTTCCCTTTTCCCATTAGTGGAGAGTTTACAAACTAAATAACGAGATTCCAGACTGGAAAAGCCCTGGCTGCCCACCAGCAGGTGGGATTCCCAGTCACTGCTTCTGCTGTGGAACCTGCCAGGGGGATCCGTGTCTGCCTGATCCCACCAGCCGTTCCTGCCGGGACAGAAACGATGAAAAATGAGTACATTTCCCCCACATCATTCAAGTTTTTAGCTGTAGCTCTTGCCACTCTCAAACAGCAGGTTTGTGTTTCAAACGCTACTACCCTTACAGAAAAAAGCCTCTACTATGATAGTTCCATTGAACTTAAAGGTAATTAGTTAAGGAGCAAAGACCACGTTAGGTGGAGACTCTCGTACTTCAGGCACTACCTCTTGGCTAAGGGTTTTGCCCTCATTAGCTTTTCACCACCTTTTTTTAATTCCCCTTTTTCCTGTCTCCTCTCTCTTTGGGAATCTCCAGGTAGCACTCCCTGAGAAAATGCTGGGTATTTCAACTGAATATTAAAAAAACCACAGTGCTGGAAATCCCAGAGCTCTGTGTGAATTCTTCGCTTTTGTTCCTGTAAGAGGAAGGTTTCTTGGGAAGGGCGGGAGCAAAGCAAGCTGGAGCCAGTTCCCAACAGGCAGAAACAACGACAAGGGATGGGAAGGGCTGAACTTCCGGGAATGGTTAATATTCATTACTTTAAAATTGCTTCTATGGCATTGGGAAATAACCGATTGCTTTATTCACAATCCGATGCCAGGAGTGATAGAGCAGAAAATGTAGAGCACTCACCTCTACATAAATACAATTAATCCATGTACCAGTCGGCCTTGCCTGCTTAAAATGTGGCAATTTTAAGCTTGCGGCTCTGGAGGAGCCCAGTCCATCCCAAACACCCTGAGCAGGGCACTCTCAGCAGCACACCAGCGGGCCAGCCGAGGCCTCGGAGACCATCCACCCCTCTGAAGACTGGCCACAGAACCACAGAATGGTTTGAGTGGGAAGGAACCCTAAAGATCGTCTCATTCCACCCCCTGCCCTGGGCAGGGACACCTCCCACCACACCAGGTTGCTCCAAGCCCCCTCCAACCTGCCCTTGAACCCCTCCAGGGATGGGGCAGCCACAGCTTCTCTGGCCAACCTGGGCCAGGCTCTCACCACCCTCCCACCAAACAAGTTCTTCCCCACATCTCAGCTCCATCTCCCCTCTGTCAGGGTCCAACCCTTCCCCCTCCTCCTAGGGCTCCCCTCCCTCATCCAGAGTCCCTCCCCAGCTTTCCTGGAGCCCCCCTTCTTTAGGGACTGGCAGGGGCTGGAAGGTCTCCCCGGAGCCTTCTCTTCTCCAGGCTGAACCCCCCCAACTCTCTCAGCCCCCCCTCCCAGTAGAGGGGCTCCAGCCCTACCAACATCTCTGGGGCCTCCTCTGGACCTGTTCCAACAGCTCCATGTCCTTCTGATGGTGGTGACCCCAGAGTTTGGGGGAGGTCTCCCCAGAAGGGAGCAGAGGGGCAGAATCCCCCCCATGACCCTGCTGGCCACGCTGCTGGGGATGCAGCCCAGGGTGGGGGGGTTTCTGGGCTGCCAGCCCACGTTGCCGAGGCGTGTGGACCTTCTCATCCACCAACACCCCCAAGTCCTTCTCCTCAGGGCTGCTCTCCAGACATTCTCTGCCCAGTAGGGATTAGTGCTTGCACAGAAGCACCCTGGCACCGCACCCGCCATCGGGATGCGCTCTCCTGCTACCGGCACAAAGGACAGCTCGGGCTCAGCGACCCCTGTCTCCATGACACCCCCTCAGCCCCTGAGGCGAGAGGCGGGCCGCCCCGCCGCACA